TTGTACAAGTCCCGAAAAAGGAAAACAGTAGCATGAGGTTGTTCATTGGATCTTAGAAGTCCTGTTATGTCTTTATTTAGTGTTACTAAATGTGGAGTACTGTGGGTATGTATGAATCCTTCTGAGGCTTCCATTGGCAAGTGAATGGTGGTGTCCTACTTTTCCATCCTCTTTATGGAAATTTCCCCATCCCGAATTTTCTATTGGCTATGGATTTTCCTGATTGCGGAATATCTAAAATGCTCTGGTCTTTTTGAACTTATTTTCAATAATTACGGAAAAAGAAAAAGGAGAATCAGATTGTACTGGATTGTATTTCAGGCTTTGTCCCGAAAAGTCCGTTCAGATAGAATTCTAATTAGGTAGAAGAGAGTTTTGAGATTCTTCAAGGGATTTGAAACTAAATAGCATTTGCACAATATAGGTTATTATAGTTTTGGCATGGCGGGAGTACATGGGAAATCTGTTGAGGAGTTTCTAGTTTAAACGAAAAAGGTTTTTAAGGTTTTAGACATAAAAAAAATTTCACTTTTGGAAAAAGCCAAAGCTTTTTCAAAAAAGACAAAAAAACCACTCAACTTTCAAATCAAAGACATGCAAATGTATTGGATTCCTTAGGAAATCTAAAAATAAATAAGGGCATTTTTGTCCATTTTTGCTTCTTTTAAAATTTTTCTCTCTCCTTTTGCTTTTTCCAAAATGTCCCCGAATGCGTTAGTATGACTGTTGCCAGGTTTATGAGCGTCATAACAGTGGAGAGATGCCCTTCAGGATCGATATACGAAGTCCTTGAGAATATTCTATGTATAAAAGGCTGAGGAGCATTGTGAGTTTGTGATTGTCATACTTAGATTTTACTTGGGTCATTTTTGTATCGGTATTTTGTGGGGTGTAAAATTTCTCAGTATGTTTCAATGTACCTTTGTTTTTGGGTCTTCAGGAAAAGAATATTGTTTGGGAAAGAGCTCAGACTTTTCTTATAGAACCAAACCATGCCTTTAGAATCATCCAAATTCTGCATTTATCCATGTGAAGTGTGTGATTTGGAAAGAGCTAAGACTTTCTTCTTATAAATTGAAATGGGCTATGGCCAACATGCTGCATGAAATCCCAACATTGTCGCACAATTTGGCAAAAATAGTCAAAATTTACCGCATGCTCATAAATGATAGTTTTTATAGAAACTTTCCAAAAGAGCAAAAAATTCACCTAAATAAATTTAAATGCACTTAAAACTAATACCCTCATAAACCTAAAAAGCAAAACCCTATTAGATTGAAAAAAAAGGAGAGCAACGAAGCCATAGTCAAAATTTACCGCATGCTCATAAATGATAGTTTTTATAGAAACTTTCCAAAATAGCAAAAAATTCACCTAAATAAATTTAAATGCACTTAAAACTAATTACCCTCATAAACCTAAAAAGCAAAACCCTATTAGATTGAAAAAAAAGGAGAGCAACGAAGCCTCTTGGGACAAGAGTTTTGCTACGAAGCCTCATGGGAACGGTCTCATGCTTCTAGTCAAGGTACATTGAGGCCGAAGGAAAGAAAATACGGTGCAATTTGAACGTTATTGACCTGTCAATCTCAGCTAACCTGTACCAATTTATGAGACGTGAAGGTTTACAACCTGTTTGTCTTTCCACGGGACCAAATTTCATAATTTTGGATGTTGTAGTCTCCAATTTGTCATAAGCAACCTGGTAAGCCGACAGTAAAGTTGTAGATTTGGCTTCTAGTGAGAAAAAAAAAAACCAACAAAGCAGAGGTTTTATAAGGATTTTTTGCTGCAATATTTTATGGTTGCAGAAGGTTCTCGCACAGGATGTGAACTTGATCTTACAATTTTTTTTGGGAACCTATAATTTAATAATATCTTTTTTGCATTTGACCCAAAAAAAAAAAAAAATTCTAGTCTCTTTGATTTTGAGTCAACTTACCTGGACACTTTTTTTTGCTTTTAAGGCTTATGTACTTTTTTTTTTTCCAAAAAAAAAAAAACGTGTGGGTATTAAGATACAGAAGTGATATCTACTCAGAGCATCTCTAAGCGAGATGTCAAATACCAAACATCAAATTTAATTTGATGTCTGATATGACAATTTGACATCTTACACAGCTTTCCACACCACTCGATATGTCAAATTAAATTATTATTTTGTTATATTTTAGTGTTGATTTATTTTTAATTAAAAATAAAATAAAAAATAAAATAAAAATATTCATTTGACGTCTTGCTTTTGGAATGTCAAAAATAATATCTCAACCGCCAACCTTCATTCCTGATCAGCTTTAACACATCGGTTTGAGTGATATGAGATGTTATTTCTAGCCATTAAATGTCTATGTGACACTTTTAAAACATCAGTTAGAGATGCTCTCACAATATTATCAACACATTTTCAATACATTAAGATACAGAATTGATACCTACAAACACTATTTTCAACACATTAAGATACATAATTGATACTTACTAACACTATTTTCAACACATTAATCAACACATTAAGATATATAATTGATACCTACTAACACTATTTTCAACACATTAAGATACATAACTGATACCTACCAACCGATGCGGAATCCAATATATATTTACATAGCAGTATACAAATAGAAACAAGGTATGCAAATGTAGCACATAAACAAGGTATGCAAATGCTTTCTTGACAAGATACATTGATCCTTATGCATCCCAAATCATCTCATATTCACAGTGTAGATATTCAATTTCTCCTTTGCGCTCTACTTCTAATGATACTTATTAGTTGTTTTTCAAGCCCCATTAAATCACTAAAATGATGCCTTACACTCACACTACTAGATGGGCAAAGCAGGATGACAATGAGGGTCAAAGAAAACATATAAAGGTTCCTGAAATTTTAAGAAAAAATAAGCAAGAAGTAGACTAAGCAAAGCAAGAGCTACAAATCTTGAGGGATCTATGATGCAGATTAACTAGGAAGAAGCAACAACTGTGAATCTACGCTTCAATAAATTACCACAAACAATAGCAAAAAAATAAAAATAAAAATAAAAAAAAACCAAATTTTGGAAAAAGGAAAAAATATTTTAACAGCAACAAACCTCTATATAGAGTTGCTATGCTTAAGCCAATTTATATTTTTGCAAACACAACTAGTACCGAGAAAGAATAGTCTTATCCAAAAAATCAAAGCCCTAAAATCCTAAACCCAAAAAATCAAAGCCCTAAAATCAGAAACAAAAATTAAACATTAAGTGAATGCAATAGAAACGCAAACCTTAATATCAAAGAGAGAGAGGGAATTCGAGTATCGATTATGACCAAAGAAAATTGGAGATTGTATTGAGAGAGGAGAATCTTTTTGAGATGAACAAGAGGGAGTCTGAAAAAAATGAATTCAGAGGCAGGGGGATTGGGTGGGATTGCAAAAGGCGTGGCAGGACACGTGGGCTAAGGGGAAAGTGTAGCGTACCCGTTTGTATTGTAAGCTTGCTTTTTCTCTTCAGCCGCTCAGATGACTTTCGATGACTGGGATTGATTCTCATATAATGTTCTTAATTTACCATTCTCACCTGATCCGAGCGCATTCATGCATAGCTAATGCATGACCAATCAACTTTGTGAGCATCACAACTTGGGCTTCCCAACTTCAAATGAAGACTTTGACCATACTACATTGAAGCCCAACAAATTATTCAAATTGGAATGATCGTGTAATTGAATCCGTCTCTTATACAATACTTCTTATTCACATTATTAGATAATGGAATCTAATGTCGAATGTCCTAATATGAATTATTCCTTTATATGATTATCCCGGTACGATTTGAAGACTTCTTCTTTCATATCTTATCCACTACTCTGCACAGAGATTTGATCAATCATATCCTTGGAGCATTCTTTCTTTATACTAAGAATAGAGATTCCTTGTTATACATTCATTTGCCTCCATGACTTTATTGAGAGTCCTGATAAACACCTTTAGGTCATGTCTTCTACAACACAACTGTATAGTGCCCTCAATGACAAACAACATAGCCACACGACCTCTATGATGTCTCAAGTCTAAGGATTAGTTCGCACTATTGCAAACTATAAGTTCTAGTTTGACATGTGAGTAAAGACTTCCATTATAGAACTTATATATTTGATCGCATTCAGTGTACTTGTTCTTCTATAAGCACCTACACATATATCTAGGTGTCGTTACACTCAATGACTTGAGACCACGTCATTCTCTATATATAGAGAAGATATTGTGTGTACTAGTCTTGGGGGGAATATCAACGCCCAATTGATACTCCTATGCTTAGGAACATATTTAGGATTATGGTTTATGATAAATCTCGATGTATGCAATCTCATTACATAGTTCTTATGTTCACTTATATATTCCTATGACTATAGTTGTTTCACTTATAAGCCCTCAAATCTGCCACTTGTTATTTCTAATTGGTTCTTAGTGTAGTAAAATTTTATAAGAATCAATTAGAAAATGACAAATGACAATTTTGGGTTTTTCTTTCCAAATGGGCTCTATATGGACTTTTGTATAATATGTCATGTTAGAATGAGCTTATTTGTGAAAAACCCGAAAAAATTAAGAAATTTATAATAATAACTTATTCTAGTATCTCTACTATTATAAAGAAACACTAGTTTAAGCATGGAATTAAAAAAAAAAAAAAAATTATCACAGATAAAGCTTCTGGAAATTAATGAACATTGTAATTAATTAAAAGTCAGAAGTTATTAAAAAAACAAAAAACAAAAGAAGATAAAACAAAAAAGATGAAAACCCAAACCAGACGCCATCGCGAGAGAGCCCCTTCTCACCTAAACATTCTAATTAACTTTTCTGATTAAGACTGTTTTTGGGGAAACACATCAAAGAGATAATAGGAATGCATTATTGTTGTGGTGGTCGATTGATATTCCCAAGGTGAAAAATATGAATCCTTTTGCTGGTGGCTTCATGCATGTATTTGAGCCAAAGGCTTCAACTCTTTTGGCAATGTCTTGACCATCACCATAACCAAAAGGATTCATATTCCCAAGGTGAAAAATATGAATCCTTTTGCTGGTGGCCTCATGCGTGTATTTGAGCCCATATGTATGTATCTTGGTTTCACTTCACGCCAAGGTGATCTCCCGGGGAAGTTATCGGAGATCGATCGCCCAGGGTGGATTGGCAGAAATCAATCATAGTAAGTTTCCTATTTCTTCCTTGAAAAAAAATAAAAGAAGAAAAGTTTCCTGTTCGTACATTCTAGAAGGTTTAGGATTTGATTTCCTGATTCTAATAGTTTAGGATTACTTTCCTTTTTGCAGCAAGATTAATTGTACTCTGTCTGTCCTGCCATTACCCTATTTGTATTGGATTTGGATTGATCTCTTGAATAAATTCCAAGCTTTACTAATTCTTTCTGTATATATTTCATAGCCCCAGCCTCAACCAACCATAATATAACTCCCTTCCGCATCAGCGGCATCCCCAAACCCTAAATTTCTTTGTGCCTCAATTTAGCATTCCATAGCTAGCAAAGGCCCTATCAATCATCTGGTATCATGGGGGATCAGAAAATATCTCAACCTTCCGCCGCCGCTGAGCTCACCGATGTTCACGGCCATGCCTTGACGAGCAAAGATGAGCTCTTGGGTAAGATATCGGAGATGGAGAAATCTCTAGCCGCACTTTCCGACCAGCAAATCCAACTGGTCCATTTGACGAAATCTATAGCAGAGCAGCTTCGCCTACTACGCGCCATGTTGAAATATAATCCTGTTCTGGCTGATTTTCTCCTGTTCTGGCTGTTTTAATCCTGTTCTGGCTGAATTAGTCCAGTTCTGTCTGAGTTGTTGAGTTCTGCCTGACTGTTCAATTCTGCCTGACTGTTCAGTTCTGCCTGA